TGGAGGCTTCAGCAGTAGTGCATGGACGGGATGATGGAAGTGAAATTTTAAGAGGCGAAGTGGAAAAGTGATAGACAGGTTTGGTTTGTCTAGAGTCAGTATCTTAGAGATTTTACCCATCCTGACAGTCATGCACAGTTTAGGAAGTGGTTATAGTGCCGCCAGGAAGCTCCCACACAGAGATGCCTTCTCTTTCTAGGTCTTTGGTTAGTAGCCTTGCTTTTGTATTATATTTGCAAAGTACTCTGTTGTCCTTGGTGACTTTATTTTAAAATATTTTTCTTCATTTCAAAATAATGTATATTCAACATAGAAAGTGAAAATCACTTGAGTCTCTTTGTGTAGAAAGGAAGTTGATGTCTTGAAGCGTTTTCTTGCTTAGCTTCTTTTGTTCAGCTGGTTTTGTTTGAGCCTCTGAGGAGTCTAATTCTTGGGCTTCTTTATATGAGATCTGCTCTTAGTGTCTGTTAGTTTTATTTTTGTTTTATTTTGTTTTGTTTTCTCTCACTGTGTAGCTATGGCTGGCCTGAACTTGTTATGTAAAACAGGCTGGCTTTGAACTCAGAGATCTACTTGCCTCTCTTTCCTAAATTGCTGGGAGGAAAGGTATGTGCCACCACATTGGGCTTTAGTTGTTTTTATTGCAAGTCTTCTTACATTTGCAGATTTCCTCCCTTTGAGATCAGTGAGTCTCTGGTAACATCATATTTTTTAACTGCTGGATGAAGTACTTTTCAGTTTTAAAAAATGCTTTCATGTATACTATCTTTTTGAGATTTGAATGTATTTGTTTTATAATACATGAGATAGTAAAGAGAATACCTTGTCTAATGTTATCGCTGGCAGTCACCTTTGCCTGAGATTCTTTAATAAATGTTACTACATAGTAAATCTGGTCTTCCAAATGCCAGAGGGGCTTTGTTTGTTTGTTTGTTTGTTTTAGTTTCTTTTTGTTTATAGAAGAAAAAAGCATGAGAGGGAACAGGTCTTGAACCAAAGAGGTTCTCTCATCCTAACTTCCTGTAAATGTTGCGATATATAATTTTTTTGAGAGAGTGGGAGCACTGAGGATTGAACCCAGGGCCTCAACCATGCTAGGCAAATACTCTGAACCAAGCTGCAGCTTGCAGCCTTTCCTGTATGCAGTTGTTCTATCGCCTGACTTTGTAGAACATTGTATAGAATCCAGTTCTTAGAAGTTCCAAAAGTGTCAGGGCTCTTTTCTCATACTGTTTGAGTTATAAAGGTAAGCTTGATTATACATAATGTCAGGTTTTGCTGTGTAGTAAGGCGCATCATTCATCCTGTTTATCATCTGTTAACTGCCAATAGCCATCATATTTGTGGCCCATGGAAAGAAGTCCTGTGGGAGTTTTAAAGAACATGCCATGTAAATTTTTATTTTCCTAAAGCATTTTTCCTTACCTTGAACTCACATTCTTTTTCCTTTTTGAAACATTAAGATAGAGCTTCAAGTTAGGAAAGCTGAGGAGTATTGACTGGAAAGAGTCTTGACAAAGGGACAAGAAAGAAAGCACAGAGCAGTAGGTCCCCTGGGATAGTGTTGTCATCTTGTGCCCTCTAGTTCTGAAGGGTGGACAGCAGAGTGCCTGGCAGACCTCTGCAGAAGGCTGGTCTGCAAGGAGTTGTTTCCAGAGGTGCCAGCTGATGTGACCACACAGGGAGAGAGAGCCTTCAGCATCTCAAACCTCTCAGGAGACCTTCCACTGAGGCAGCTTCCTGAGGGGCAGAGCAGATGGTAATTTCTGTAGTCAGTGTTTTTTTTTTTTTTGTTTGTTTTGTTTCTTTTTTTTCTTTTTTCTTTTCTTTCTTTCTTTCTTTCTTTCTTTCTTTCTTTCTTTCTTTTTTTTTCTGAGTGGCACAGCTCAGACGTCGGAGACTGAAAATGCTTTTCCTCTTTGCACCTCATGCACTTCTCCATGATTCTGTTCACAAATACTGATACATGTGAAACAATTGTGGGCCAGCCACACATCCACTGATTTGCTTGAATACAGGAGGAGTTTCTTTTTAAGTAAAATAAAAAATACTTGTTTGTCCCATCTAAAGATTGTTTCAGACTAGATGGAGCTGGCTTTGTCTGTTTCCAGTGAATGTCACCTCTTTAGCTATGGTGAAAACACGGCATTTTCTGTCATCTCTCACCCTCTCCCATTGGCCATAGGTGTTGATGCTTTTGACAGACACTTTCTTTAAGTTAGATGCCAAGTAGTTTGGGTACCTAGGCCTCATTCAGCCAGCTTTCTCTGCTATTCCTAGAGAGAATTGAGGCTGCTAGGATTCCAGGGAGTAGTAGAGTATTGACTGTTTTACATTTTTTATGTTCTATATTTGATATGTAAATGAGCATGCACATGCTGTGGTTCACACTCCATGGTGTGTGTGGAGGTCAGAGGCAACTTTGGAGCTGTTTTTTTTCCATCTACCCGTTGGCTCTAGGGATTAAACTTGGATTGCTGGGCTTTTGCAGTAAACCTTCATTGACTGTCGGCAACGCAGTGCTTTAAAACCTGTTCAGTGTGATGTAATGTAAGTTTGTGTTCTTGTATTTGAATTATTCAGGTATCATAGCAGAAAATGGAATTAGTATCAATGGCCTATCTTATACTTTTATTTTAAGAGAAGCTAATTTATGTTACATTATTCTTTGTAATGGCACTGTCAGACACACTGTCATTGAATTGAGACTTTGTAATGTGTTGTTTTCCTTTGCTTTGTGTAAAATTTTATCACATGTTGTTCATGGTTTCTTAAAATGTGTACCAGTGTTGAGTTTCTCTGTCTTGGCTGAGATCATCTGTCCCCTGGTGGAAATGTGTTTTGAATATTGTGTGTCTCTTAAGTACTGAGTGACTTACGAGAGAAGTATCATTTGCTTCCCTTTTAAACACAGTTCAAGGTGTCAGCTTTCTGATTTTTTTTTTTTTGTGCGTATATTTATGTGGGTAAATAAACCAAACCTCTTCAGGCTTGTGGTTATCCTGTATTGTCATCTATCCTAAGTCAATTCTCTGAGAAAAGGAAACTATTGATGACTTCATGAGTAGTCTCCAGTCCTTTGTAGCTGATGGGTGCTAAGTGAGAACAGTGCGTCAGCACTTAAGTTACTGAATGCTTGTGAGAGTTCAGAGGCTCCAACACTGTCCATCCAGAAGACAGATTTATAGGTATAATTTTACTTCCTTCAGCTAGCATAACCATGTAAGTTTGATGAATTAAAATAGTAGAATGTACCTTAGAGCAGGCCAGCCGACTGTCCACAAGGGCCAGATGTGCTCCAGGAACACAATCTGTATCCTCAAGATGCCACAATCTAGCTCTTGTTTCTTTCTTCCTTGTTAACTTTTTGCAGAGCTTGAAAAATGCATAAAGTACATCTTTTACAGATTATGTCATGCAAATGATATTTTGAATCGTTTTGTTAATATGAGCACATGTTGGAGTTAATTTAGGTACTTTCATTAACATTTAAATATAAATATGTTAAGTTTACATTTTCCATCATTTGAAGAAGTTTGATTTGCATAACTTGTCATTCTACCTGTCAAATGAGTTATACTTGGCAGATTTGCTCCAATATGCATAACTTGTCATTCTAACTGTTGAATGGGTTGTACTTGGCAGATTTGCCTCAGTCTGCATAACTTGTCATTCTAACTGTCAAATGGGTTGTACTTGGCAGGACTCAGAAGGTGTGGACATCAAGCTGGGAGTGTGTGCTAATGGCCTTCTCATTTACAAAGACAGACTGAGAATCAATCGTTTTGCTTGGCCGAAGATCTTGAAAATTTCCTATAAGCGCAGTAATTTCTACATTAAAGTTAGACCAGCAGAGGTGAGCAGTGTCTTGTACTCTTGGCATGGCTAAAGCACTGTCAGTGTCCCCTTTCCTAGTAGGAGAGGTAAGTTAATTCTTCCATGAAAATATTATAGAAGGAAACCCTTCTTAGTTCTTTTATGCTACAAAAGACATTATTCTTGATGATGTATGAACATTCTTGTTGCTAATATACAAAACCACTAGTTTGCTCACAAAAAAGGATTGTTTTTTTCCCCTCTCACACATAGTGGGAGCTTTTTGTGGTTGTTGTTGACTCAGGTAAGTGATGGAATGTGTTTTAGTGGTATTGAGTAATCAGTTCACTTGGGCAATGGGCAATTGCTTTTCATAGAAACAGTATTATAGTTGGAAATTTGTTACTTTGTATGACTATATAGTTTGACTAACACTTAATTTCTAAAGAAGAATTACTTCCGGGCTGGAGAGATGACCCAGCGGTTATGAGCACTGACTGCTCTGCCAAAGGTCCTGAGTTCAATTCTCAGCAACCACATGGTGGCTCACAACCATCTGTAATGGGATCCAATGTACTCTTCTGGTGTGTCTGAAGACAGCTGCAGTGTACTCATATAAATAGAAAATAAATAAATCTAAAAAATAAATTACTTTTGACAGAAACAACTGACTCTGCTTACAATATCAGGTAGTCATTAGTTAAAGAATAGGCTGATTTTGTTTTTATGGGTTTATTCTAGCTGGAACAGTTTGAAAGTACCATTGGATTCAAATTGCCAAACCATCGGGCAGCTAAAAGGCTATGGAAAGTGTGTGTGGAGCATCACACTTTCTACAGGTAAGGTGAAGAAGTCTCATGGAGTTGCCAGTACCCTGTCCAGGTTAGATGGGAAGGATGGCACGGCAGATGCAGCTGTGCCCTACATCAGAATTGTATTTCACGCTGGTTATCTCTGTTGCTGGCAGCCATGCTTCAGCGTGCCTTCTAGTTATTTTGCCTCCTCTTTCCCTGAATCACCACCATGCTAACCCCACCTGCTACCTTCCTTTCTGTCATTAGTCTTCTTAGTTATAAGTCAGGATGTCTTCTTACCAGCTCTTTCAGATGTAACCTCTTTCTCAATCAGCTTGGGCCTGCCATTGCTCCATTTGGTTGTTTTGTTAAATCTATCACCCCTCAAGCCTGTCTCCTAGCACACCAGCCACTCCAGTGTGCTGCTGCTAGTTTAACTCTTGTGGTGGTTGATACAGTATTACAACCTTGTGTATTATGCTATTTCAACTAACTTTCAGCATTAATGGGATCCTCATTGCTGCTAGCCAGCCAGCCTGCCGGCCTCCCTGTGGGAAAAAAAGGGGCCGCAGTGGTGTCCCAGAGGCTTTTCACGAGGCGGATTCCACATACAGGAGAAAGTCTAAGGCTCCAGAGGCTGGAGGCTTTGGTGAAGACAGACTCCAATGACACGAGAATGTCCATAGTCCAAAAGGGTTTATTTTCATGGCGGATGGTAGATGGATCTGGATGTACCCCCATGAAACTCAGGGCAGTCCTGAGTTAAATATGGAGGGAGAAAGGGAGAGGGTCTGGGGAAGAATGCTTAATTTGCTCCGCCCTCTGGCCTTCATTAGTATGTAAATCCCTAGGGCCTGAGGCCTGTAGTCACACCCTCTACCTGTGCACTTTGGGAGGGGCTGTAATGGCCTACGTGACTGAACAAAGTAGGTCCATGGAGACTAGACTGTGTGTCAGGACTCTGGGTTCTGGGGTCGTGGCCGAACATCTGCTGTTTCTCCCTTGGAGTCTCAGGGTTCCAGGCCCATGCCCAGCCGTGAACCAGGATACCCTTACACAGTTCCACATCTCCCTTGGCATCTGAACTCTTCATAGACTTCTAGAGCCTTTCACACTGGCCTCTCCTTAGGATTGCTCTCAGTGCAGTGCATTCACTGTAGAAACTGGGGGTCACGAACACCCCACCTTTCTTTAATTGCCTCTTTTCCTTCCAAACGTATTATTGTCTTTTCATCTTATCACCTTCCTTGTTTAAAAGATGGATAGACATTGTTTTGCTATGTTTATTTTATCCCTCCTTTATTATCATCTATCCCAAGTTAATTCTCTGAGAAAAGGAAATTATTGATGACTTCATGAGTAGTCTCCAGTCCTTTGTAGCTGATGGGTGCTGAGTGAGAACAGTGCATCAGCACTTAAGTTACTGAATGCTTGTGAGAGTTCAGAGGCTCCAACACTGTCAGTCTAGAAGACAGCAAGGGGTCCTTCATTGTAAATTTACTTTCTAATAGATACTTCTGACTTCTTTGGTCAGTTACATATCCATACTTTCCTTAAAGACCAAAGTCCTAGACTAAAAATAACCCCTAAGAGCCCCTAAACTTGTAATCTCAGTATGTGGGAAGTAGAGGCATGGCGAGTCTCTGAGTTCAAGGCTAGCCTTGCCTATATAGTAGTTCAGGGCTAGCTGTAGCTACATAGAGAAATAAATGTGCAACAGAGCAACAATAACCAACAAACCTTCCCAATTTCCTTTGATTCCAGGCTGTAGCTAGCGTTCTGTTTCCCTTTTAAGTCCTGTCCTTAGGACTGCTTTTTGCACAAGTAGTTTGGTTCCCTTCATCGACTCTGTTTTTGGTCACTGGTTTATAAAGCCTGATTGGATTAAGTGCTGTCTCCAGACTTAGGATCGAGTACTGTTCTGCCACATACTAGCCATGTAATAGTGACAAGTTATACAGCCTCTGCTTTACCTTCACTACCCCTGTGATGCTAATAAAGGGCTCATTTATTTCTTTATGGGGTTGTTTTCAAAATTAAATGAGATTTTACATGAGAAGCAAACATAAGCTAATTTAAAATAATGTCATCAGTACCACTGAAAAAACATTATAGTTATTACAAATGACTGGTTCTCACAGTGAAGTGGAACAGATTTATTTTCAAGAATACTCTAATATGCTAATTTTAGAGAAGACATATAATTCAACATATATTTGAATCTATCTGACTCAGCTATACTAATCATAGAAGTCCTTGAAAAGTTTATGTTTCTTAGTAGCTAGAATAAGTGTTTTCTAAAGAAGTGTGGGCCTGCCTCATATAAAGCTAGATAATAGCATCAGCCCTATAGGACTAGAGTGGATAGATAGCAGGTTTGCTGTCAAATACCAACCGTGATGATCCTGTTGGAAATGACAGGTGCTAGGAATGCTATAATTGTTATACACAGTTTATTGCTTCATATGTCCATTTTTAAAATAGAAGACACAGGTCTTACTGCAATCTGCTGTGTAAAATAGAGGTAAGACCAAAAAAATAAGTGATCATGTATGTAAAATATCTCATGCAGAATGCTCTAATGGATAAATATCTGTATATATACTTAAACAGTAACCCACTGGCTGTTACCTTAACAGAAATTTGATTTTGTAGAGTTCTTTTCACGTGGACATGGATAGTAGATGCCATCTCAGACCGTGGTAATGAGAAGAAAGATCAGCTTTCAAATTAGGTGGGGCACAGCAAAACTAAACTCACTCTCAAGCTCATTTTAAGGACTAATTGTTTCATGTTCTACTAAGATAGAGCTAGTGATGGGTCAGAGGTCAAGGCTTGCAGCACTTGCCGTTTGCTAAATTTCCAATATGCCAAACACAAAAGTTACTTCTTCAAGGCTGCATCCCTGAGATACCAGGAAGGAGAGCACTGAAGAGGTGCTGCCTGTGGTCTGACTCTGTGTGTGTGTGTGTGTGTGTTGTGTGCGTGTGTACATGCATATGTGTACCAGCGCACGCTCCAACAATGATGGCACAGACATAGACGGGACTGGAACAGGCTGTCGCTTGAGTTCATGATTTGAGACCAGTCCAAGCAACATAGTGAAGCCCTCAAATAAAACAAAGCAAGCAACTCATTGAGCTGGATTTGGGTGTGTCTAGAGTTAGGGTGATGGTGGGCCCCATGTCTCCTCAAGCACCCACAGGCCCTGATGAAGTTACAAAAAGTAAATTGACAATTGCAAAGCTGGGGGACACCTTTGGAAGACTTTAAAATTTTCTTAAATATTGTTTTCTGATGCATAAGAAGTTTAATTGTTATAAATTTATTTTGTAAAAGAAACAGAAAATGTATTATAATTTGAAAGAGGAATATCTCTTAAAAATAAATGATCTTTAAGTTTTCTCGTAGTTTGGTAAAACAGATGCCCTGTCTGTAATTTCAGACCTATTTTTTGGAGATCACTTTCAGGGCTCTGAATGTCTCTCTGTTGCGGTAATCTTTAAATCGTCTTTATTCCTTAGTAGACTTTATTAACAGACAAGAAGGATCCATGTGTCTTTAAATTTTCTTTATCCCCGAGTGGGCTTCAGTGACAGACAAGGAGGAGCCATGGGAGAATATTTCCCAACCTCTGGCTGCACTGATGTTTCCCAGCAACCTTCCTCCCATTTCTATAGCCGATTGCTTTCCTGCAGAGAAGTTCAGGGTCACGTTCCTAGCCTTGCTAGCTGGGGAGGCAGTCCAAGGTGACAGTCACCAGAGTGCATGTTCTCAGCACTACCCTGTGTTGTATCTCTGTAGATAGGACGTGGAGTATGCTTTATGGCATGCACATAGATTTAGTGCTTCACCACACTAAATTATGGAGGGTCTGTGGTTCTCTTATCATTTAATTCTGACTCTGTCATTCTGGATGAATTCTGTTTTGAGTTAATGGAGGATTAGATTACCTCTCAGCATTATTACTCCTTACCACCTTGACTTAGAACTCATCTTTCCCTAAGCAGAAGTTTTCTAAAGTCTTATGCAGAAGATCTGGGAATACTTGGAATGATTTTAGGGGGAAAAAAAAAACTTGTAAAATACCGACTTTTCCGTGGAAAATGATTGAAATCTCCATATCCCTAAACTAAAGTCTTAATAAACTGTAAGATTTCTGAGAGTATATATTTGTTAAGTGTTTTTCTAACTCAATGGCAAGATGATTTTGGTTGTATCAAAAAAGCTTGCTTATTAAAAGCATGTTCTTTCATAAGTCAGAAAATTATCTGTCATTAAGATTTGAACCAGTTGCTTGGTAGAGTTACACTGGCAAGAAAGAATATTAGCCACCTCTGAGGACCACTGTCTAATTTCTGTTGTTCAGGAACAAATTGCTTAGCTAACAGATTCCTGAGTTAGATGGATTCTTTTCCTACCAGAAAGAGGCATAAATATTAACGATTGCTAATGATAATGGGCTTTTTGCTTGACACTTAACAGCTAACAGCACAAATTCAGACATACGTGTTTACATAAGCGATTTACACTAAATCCAATAAATACTCTTGATACACACTCAGAGCAGCTGCTCTTTAGGTTGGCAAAAAAAAGAAAGAAAGAAAGAAAGGAAGGAAGGAAGGAAGGAAGGAAGGAAGGAAGGAAGGAAGGAGGGAAGAAAGAAAGATGTGAGCACATTACTGTTAAAAAAGTGCCTCTGACCCAGTGTGGGGCTGCATTTCAATTTCAGCACTCGGTGGATGAGCTGGAAACAGCTTGACTCAAAAGCCCAAAACAACAATAAAACCACGCATGTAGGAAGGATGTTTTTATTAAAGCTGTAGCGCAGTGGTTTCGACTAATCGTATATGAAATGAAACCTTAACATACATACCTGTATTTTTGTTTTTCTTAATCCACCTGAAGACTTTGTCCTTATTGTTTTTGTCTCTCCTTTGTAGGCTTGTGTCTCCAGAGCAGCCACCAAAGACCAAGTTCTTGACCCTGGGGTCCAAATTCCGCTACAGCGGCCGCACACAGGCACAGACACGAGAAGCAAGCACCCTCATAGATAGGCCAGCACCACAGTTTGAGCGTGCCTCTAGTAAACGTGTCTCGAGGAGCCTAGATGGAGGTAACACATTTCAACTTTGGATTCTACTCATCTTTTCTACTCTAGTGGGGTCAGAAAATGATAATCTGATTAATAAGACTGCGAGACATCCTCCAGAGCAGTGGTCCTCAACCTTCCTGATGTTGACACCATTTAATACAGTTTTTTATGTTGTGGTGACCCCAACCATAAAACCATTTTGTTGCTACTTCATAACTACTTTTACTTATGTTATGAATTGTAATGTAAACATCTGGTTTGTGATATTTGACATATTACCCTCATAGAGGTCATAACCCATAGGGTTGAGGACCACTGGTCTCAAGGGATAGACAGGTACCTCCAAATTAGTAAAATGTTGCTCTTCTCAAAGTAAAATAATTTTGTATGCAGGTTGTCACTCTGAACATGCATTTTTGTTTTGTTGTTGTATATATGCTGTTGGCAGCATACATAAGTAGTATGTATTTTTGTATTTATAAGCTGTTGGATGGATATGGTTCTCTTGGTTTCCTTTGATTATGATTTCTAATGTGGTTTAATGTCTTGTGCTTGTTAGTTGCTCATATTACTCTGGGAGTTTGGGGAATGTTTGCAAAGAATTCCAGTAGTTATAAAACAGTTCTACTACTCAGATTTGAAAGTGTGCTTTCAGAAGTTTACCAGACTCACAGCATAGGAGAAACTATTTTAGGTTTCAAAAGTATTAACTTTAAATATGGTTTTAAATAACAATAACAAAAGAAATACATACTCATGTGTCTGGGGAGATAGTATAAATATTAATGGTTTCTCTTAGAGTTCTGATGAACTCTTATATTTGCATGCATACAAATCAGATGATGTTTCTTTATCACATGTTTGTCATATTGCTTATTAGGAAATTAGGAATTAATATGTTATATGAAAGATGTTATGTTTTTATTAAACTGCTTTTTTGTTATATAACAAAAATGATATTAATTTTCAGTGAAAAGAAATAGTTTTTCAACCTTTTTCATTATATTGAATAGTAATATTAAATAGTTTGACAAGTTGTAATTTTATATTGCATTATTAGCAAAAATCCCATTTTGATTGTTGCTCCTTTGTATCACTATACAAATATGAAATATGAACTTGAACAGCAAGATGTTAAATAATTAGATAAAATAGACGATTCTTAGGCTAACATTCTTTCATTAGTAGAGGACTCACACAGATTAGCCTTGCTCTGTTTCTTCCTGGTAAAAGAAATTTAACTAAATAGGTGCAGGTACACACAGCTATTTCCAAGACTTTGCTTGTGAGTATTTTGATGTAGGTGGTTGTTAACTCAGGAGAGTCTTCCGTAGAGTTTTAAAGAACCACCAGAAAAATATATGCTTCAATCAAATGAATATTCATATTTCCAGATAAGACTATTTAAATATAGAGAATTAGCAGTGTCAGCCAACAACTAAGTGCGTTCCTTAGTAGTCTGCTCTAGCCACAGGTAGATGCAGTTGCTGTTGTTTCTGCCCTGCAAGGAGCCTTCTGGGACTGTCACCGGCTTTTGTTCTAAGATTGGAGGCTGTAGAGTTCTCACGTTGTATTCAAGCCAATGAAGAACAGTCAGCCAGGGCATCTTTGTAGTCTGTGTACTTTTTTGGGAAACCCGCAGTCTTGATTGAGCAGTTATCACAGAAGGTAAACAGTTTTTCCCAAGGGGAAGCAACAGGCGAGGCACCAATCCTTTATTTCCCCTTTGTGTGTTGGATGCTGTGATCCATCAGATGGGCAGGCCATCAAAAGGATGATTGTGTTACTGTGAAAAGGAGAAGACTTTCCATGTTAGTATGGCAAGTGAACTCTGGCTGGGGCGTGTGTTCTGTTTCCCAGCATAGCAGAGCTGCTCTGATCCAGGACAGAGCGTCTTCCTTCAGCCTTTTTATCAGTGTTCCATTCCTGTTGCTAATGTGTGTTGTGTTTGAAGGTTTGAATAATGTAGATAGATAAATAGTCTTTCCTTTAAAGTTTTGGAAAATATTTTAGTGATTGTATCAAAGGCAAAGTTTAAGGTGACATCAAAAGACTAAAGAGTAGAAATCACCTAGAGAGAGCAGCTGCTGTAAAGCAGGGAGTGCCTCTTTAACCTCTGAGGTTAGGGAACAGAACCAGCAGTCTTCATGCATTGGGAAGTTGGGGAAGCAGTGCCAGGGATGCTGGGCTGCTTAAGTAGGATCATCAGGGAAAGAAGCCTCCCTCAGACACCTGGAAGGATGAAAGGGAGGCAGCTATGACAAGAGAGGAGAACATAGGTCATCCCAGGCAGTGGAGGGTGCAGACCAGCTTTAAGGTGAGAGACCAGCAAACAGACAGCACACTCAGGCATTGGAGGAGAGTCTGGGGCTGCTAGACTTTTGAGTCCATTCTGTAGAAGCCTTTAGCGAATCCGTAGTGTGTTGGTGTTAACGTGCAGAGCGCAGAATTAGCTTGGAAGAATCAGCTGGTTCCAGGAGAATGGTGAGAGAAGATTGAGTGAGGAAGCCACAGACTGGCTCGCAGTGGTCACATGACAGTGGCTGGTGTGCTCTTCACCTTGGGTTGGAACAGATCACGTGGATACAGCATATTAGAATGTGTGTTTAAATGTGTGCTGTCAACATTTTGTCAACTTGGCTTTGTAATTTTTAATTTTATATTGACTCATATTTCAGTATCAGTATAGTTGAAACTATCTTTAGGTCAGGTTTTTCATTTTGTAATAATTTGTGAGTGCAGTGAGTGCTTAAAATTGTATAATACGTCAAAGAGGTATGTATAATTTTATGCATCTACACTGGAAAATTAGTAAAATCTTAGCAAAAACAAACAAACAAAAACCAGTTCCAGGAAATGAGTAGGTGTAATGTAAGATGTAAGTTCATTTTAATGTTGTAACAATTTGTGTGGATTTTGAAAAGTAAGTTTATTATAGATTGGAAAAATTTTAAAGGCTGAAATGGTGTAGAAATAGATGTTTAAAACAAACAAACAAACAAACAAACAAACACATACCATGCTTAAAAATACATTCAAGGGCCCTGCTTGATTTGCTAGTGTTAAGGGGTAGTGTTCTAGAATTTGAAGTTCCTGTCTAAAGCAAATGAGTCTAAGTAGAAGTATCATTTGGTAAAAAAAATAGGGCTAGGAAAGAGGCACGGCAGGATAGGGCAGGCAAGGGCAGCAGAGTATTCGGTACCTTCTAGAACAAAGATTCAAAGTATAGGATCCCTCAGGTAAACTGTGATGGCATATACACCCTCGAATAGCTTCAGGCTCTGGAGTTTGTTTGTTTACTAGAATTTTTCTTGGTGCATGGAAAAAAAGAGCAAACCACAGGGTATCTGTAACACTTTTTATAAGGAGGAAAAGACTTGGGGGGATTCCATTGCTCAGGAGGAGCCACTGGTAGAGAGACTTGTCCTTTGGCTTGCTGACTCTTGAGATGATCCAGAGCTATGACAAAAACATTAGCACAGTAGGTTCTACCTCACTGTGAGAGAGAGGACAGCAGCACACAGTAGGTTCTGCCTCACTGGGAGAGAGAGGACAGCAGTACACAGTAGGTTCTGCCTCACTGGGAGAGAGAGGACAGCAGTACACAGTAGGTTCTGCCTCACTGGGAGAGAGAGGACAGCAGCATGCAGTAGGTTCTGCCTCACTGGGAAAGAGAGGACAGCAGTACACAGTAGGTTCTGCCTCACTGGGAGAGAGAGGACAGCAGCACGCAGTAGGTTCTGCCTCACTGGGAGAGAGAGGACAGCAGCACGCAGTAGGTTCTGCTTCTCTGGGAGAGAGAGAGGACAGCAGCACGCAGTAGGTTCTGCTTCTCTGGGAGAGAGAGAGGACAGCAGCACGCAGTAGGTTCTGCCTCACTGGGAGAGAGAGGACAGCAGCACACAGTAGGTTCTGCCTTGTTGCGAGAGGACTGCAGGGCACAGAGTCACTTTGGGGCAGCAGCTGGGGTACTGGGCACTGGTCAGGTTGAGAAGTTCAGAAGTGTCAGAAAAACAAAAAATATTAGATGGGTAGATTCTTAAATCTACTATCTTTTAGTATGCAAATAAGTTAATTTTCAGGGGATTTCTTAAAACCCCTTGAAAAAAATCATTTTGATAGTTAGTTTTTTGAAAGGTAGATTTAGGACTGATCAGATACCACAAAGTAGTAGTTACATAGTAATTCTGTAATCTCCAGTCAGACCAAGAGCTCCTCCTACTGGCCAATTCCTGGGTGAACCTCATGCTCAAAAATCTAATTTGCTGAATGGATTAATTTTTTAAAACTCAGAATATTAGTAGAGTTTTATATTAGTTTAAAAACAAATCTATATTACATATTGATATATCCAAAGTTCAAACACTATGTTCTAGCTACATTTGGTTAAAGGGTTATAGTCTTCAAAGCTTTATATTCACTAATGTCTAATGTATTTATTTCAACTTATCCTCTGATTAGCCCCGATTGGTGTTGTGGATCAAAATCTTATGAAGGATTTTCCAGCCCCTCCTGGAGAGGGATCAGTGCCTGGCCCTGGAGTTATCAGCTATACTACCATCCAGGATGGCCGGAGGGAAGGCAAAAGCCCACCAAAAGCCACACCCCTGCTCACTGTGGGAAAGGTACGGCCCTTTAAGCACTTGTGCTGCTGTGAAGGATGCTCAGATCAGAGGCTCTTTGCTGCTTTTAGTATTTTGTCATGGTTTAACCCATGCTTACAATCTTCCATGTTTCAAATGGAGACTGCTTTACACTGTGATTTCTAACTGTGTTTTTATTATTTTTCAGAGTAAAATACTAGTTTCAGTATAAATTATAATAATGTAAGAACAGAGTAAATTATACAACTATAAGAAAGCAATGCACTGGCATTTCCTGTTTTCTTAGTTTATTATCAGTTGACTTCCCAATGATAAAAGCCATGTGGTTTGAAATTTGCATATTTTATTGCTAGTCAACTTTAAAGGTAATCCCTGTCTTATTACATTGACTTAATTTTTTAGATGAATCAAGATATTCTTTATGAAGAAAATGTACTAATAATCCTTAGCTGTGCACGAGTGCAAGCTTATATGCTGTCTCCGCCTTGTTTGTGCTTGCACTATAGTGAATGAAGAAGGCAGAACATTTTCACGTCTGTCAGTTTTGTTATTGTTACTAAAGTCAAGTGGCTGCCAGTCACTTGACTAAAGAGCTTTTGAGCTCCTCACAAATCATTTCAGTGCTTGCACAAAGCATTATTTTATATGTAACACTGGAAATAAATCACACACACACACACACACACACACACAAACACACACAGAGCCTGAATGATCCTTTTGACATACCATGCTTTTTTAACTCTGGCTTTGAAAAACATAAAGACATGCAGAATGAAAGTTCCTGTAGCTGAAGCATCTGCCGGTACTGTAGGAGTTCTTGCAAGCACTGATATCCTTCAAGTGCTAAGTGGTCAAAATCTTTTAAATTATGCTTACAGAGTATCTGAGAAAACCACTGCTGAAGAGAAAGTTCAGTATTTCTGTTCAGGTTGTCAAGTTGATATATGTAATTGTAAAAAAAAATCTGGACAACAAATGTTCTTGTATTAAGTTCTACAAATGACTCGTTTTATGAGCATTTCTAGCATTTTTGATATATGTGTCAGCAACTAGGTTTGAGTAATCTTAGTTAAAAACTCATAATCATATGTGTAAATTTTATGTGATTAAAGAAGTCCAGTTTCTCTCCTTAAAAGTGGATTATTTAGTTAAGTTTTTAATCACTGTTTTTATGAAACCTACTCGGGAATGAAGTTTTCACTAATGTTTCTTCTCTTCTCCTGTTTCCTTCTTATTCCTTTGAACATAACCATTGTGGAATTCATACCATGGGTTGTTGTTAAAATAGACTGTGTGCATGTGCCCTCCATCACCTCTCATTTGCTGTACTTCGTCTTTCCCCCCATACCTCCTGCCAGTACCTGAAGTGGACTTGCTGTCAGACATTTCAGAGGAAGACCCTTTTGGGGAGGCTGATCAGACCACACTAGATAGCTTCGAGCTACTTTCTATGGGTGGACCATCAGAGCAGGGTGACCCTGAGGTGGCCACATTGGATCCTGTCTTAGATTCTATTGTAGCCCCTCCTCTACCTGATGGTCCTTTGATGCATGAGAAGACTCTCAAGTCGGCTGTCCCTAAGGATGCTGAACTGGGTTACTTTTCCTTTACCTTTCACAAATGCTTTGCCTCTGGCTTCCCATCCCTTCTTGATGAAGATGGGTACCTGGCATTCCCCAGCCTCCCCAAGCTCTGGGTTTCTTTCCTCCCGGCTGACGTCCGGCATCATGTCCCCATCACATCGCCTTCCTTCATCCCTTCACTCATCCTCAGCTTCGGGCTGCTGCTCTCGGCTTCTCAGTCAGTTGCCTTATCTCTTACCTTTTCCCTTCCTCTGGCACTAGCCCTCTGCTATCTGGAGGGGAAGGCCACCGCACTTCGTGTTTTTTATGACTGTGATTTGAATGGCAAGCCAGAGGAAGAAGAAGCAGTGTCCACCATGTCTTCATAAGCTAGTGTCCAAAGGCTACCCACCTGTTCTTGTTACATCCCCTTTCTAATATAGAGTCTAAACACGTGCATCAATTTTACTGACTACCCTCAAGGAAGTATGTACACATTTACACACACATGTGCATGAGCAATAAGTTAAGACACTTCTCTGCATTGCTATCTGAAGTCCAGGTCTATACACATTCTAAATTCAGAGCAAACTGGTAAGGTCATTTTATAAATATCGTAGGTCATGCTAGGTTGTTAAAGGAGTGTCTGAGCTGGGAATCTGTAGTGTCCTTAAGCATTCATATTGACATTGTTTTGAAGATATGTAACAGTTCGTTCCGTAAGCATGTGAACATTGTTTTAAAACAAAACTTAGAATGTTTTGGGCATAACTGTAATCGACATGTATCAGGAGAACTTAGTATTTAATCTTGAGCTAAATTCAAGTTTGCACTTGCACTTATGAGCCAAGTCTGTATGTAAATTTCACTCCTGATGTTTCTGCATCTCAGAAACTCCACATCTGATGTACTTTTAGCATTTGAGGACCAAGGAGATAAATTTTATTTAGTCTTCTTTCTTCTACCCTGAATTGTGTAGTTATATAAGAGTCATTATCAGGCATTTTATAAGATAGATGATAATTCTGTTTTAGTGTGTATTAAAATGAACCATGGCTTTGAATATTAGACTAGATATGAGAGGTTGGCCTTTCTGTTCTTATGTATTTAAAATCAGGTGTCTGAGACTTCTTACATTTGTGTAAGAGCTTGTTTGAAGTGTTCTTCCTCTGCACTACTAGGAAGTCAGCCTTAGCATGTGCAACACATTTTTAATTATTGTTCAGTATGGTCTGGTTGATTAAGTTAAGTGTCTTATATCTTAGGGATTCTATCAACACAGAGTATATATCACAGAATTCAACGCAAACATAAAAAAAATACAAGAAATGGAAAAAATACATCATTGTAGGAGAAATTGTAATTCTTTAAATTTACTTGAGAAATAACCACAGATCAACATTTTAGTGGATTAAATGTTAACCAAGAAAGTAGAGGCTGACCCCTCACAAACGTATAGTGGCTGTGTCATGTTTGTCACTGATGCAGAGGTGAGGAAGAAAGCTCTTAGCTCCCATTTACGTCTCACACACACCCTGGAATGGTTAGAAAACAAGATTCCTTCCAACTCGGGCAGCCTCGGAGAGGAGCACATGGATGGGCTAGCCTGGGAAGCTGATGTTCTTTTTGTGTCTGTTTCTGTCTCTGACATGAGTCTCGTAGTGTCAACATTTACTCAATATTTCTTAGTCCTGCTTCCAAATTGATTTTGGGGTCATTAAATATTTGGATGTATCCAACTGCAGAAAACTGCATAAATATTTTATGGCATGAAAGTGGCTGCATTTGAAAGAATATTTTTAAATACCCATTTTAATATGAAAAAAGCTAATTGGCTAATTTTGCCTGAAGAAAATCTATATTTAAAAACTGATGGAACAGTGTATAATGATGTAAAGTTTGTAGCCTACTCAGAGCTGCAGACAAATTTAGTGTCTCTGTACCATCACTACTTGGGTTTTGCCATCTTTGCACTCTCATTTTTCTGCTTAAAAAAGAAAATTCTTAAAAGTAGAGCGTACTCTAGGGGCTGAGAAAGAGTGAGCCGCCCTTGTCCAACCCACCCACCCACAGGACCATTTCATCATGTACAGCAGCTAGGTGAGGACAGCCACGGGCTTAGCGTGTCTTCAGGGCCTGGAGCAAGCTTATGCTGCTGCACCATTCAGTTGGACACAGCATCTCCGCCCTGGTGGTGGAGCCCTCGGGGAGCCCTCCTCTCTGCCTATGTGGCCAGTGGCTTTGCAGGGGAAGATGGAAGATGCAGCGATGTGCCCGGAGCAGGTGTCTGCTTCCTCTATGTTAAATAATAAGTGCCTGCTGCCTGCTACTCCATTGGTTGGGGTTGGGAGGTCTAGGGGATGATGGTGGAATGTACTCTTGGGGTTTTACCTGAGTTTTGTTTGTTGTGGCTTTTAAGATTTTTATTCTCTATTATTTTAAAATCTTAGATTATGAAATTCTGGGTTATTTTTGGTGCTTGTTGACTGATATACTTGTGTTTATTTGCCTTTTCTCCCTGTGTGTGATTTAATTTCACAGAAAAATACCTTGAGAGTAGACGGGGATAATATTTATGTCAGACATAGCAATTTAATGTTGGAGGTTTGTATGATCTAAGAAAGCATTGCACTCTGTCCCCTGGCTGCCAGGCTGCTGTGGACGGGAGGTCACGCACAGACTGGCTGGCTGCTCTTTTCAAGCACGGTGCATGCAATGCATGGGGCTATTGAACTTGGGAGTGCATGCTACCAGTCCACCTTGGTTCTTAGATGGGGTAAATAGGAATATATCTACTGTAAGTTCTCAAACTGACAGCTTGGGAAAAAAGTTCTTTTTATTTAAATTATATTTATTCCTTACTAAATAAGCCCATTTCCCTAATAGATCACCTTTAAGCTATACAATATGAAGTAACACAAACGAGTTTAATATATGTCAAACAAAGTAAGTAATTTTTATATAATGTTGGCCCACTCACTTGACCCTTGAACTATGGCTTCCCCTGATTAATGTCCCACTATGATCTATGTGATGAGGTGTGTGGTCCCTGTAAAGTGTTGGACCTGAGAACATGCTAGAATAGGATCGTCCCTACTAAAAGAAAAGAACAGAGGAGAGGGGTGGAATGGAAGGGAGGAAGAGAGCTACAGATAGAGACATTGGGAACTGTAAAGTGTGCAGAATATTCAGGGACACCTGCAGCTCTAGTAATCTGACTAATCTCTTCAGTTGCTTTGGCAGCTTTGATAATGTTAAAATGTATTGTTGCTTAACTTACTAAAGTGCTGTAAAGTATAATAAGTAACACTGTTGTGACCAGATGCAAGAAACGTGCCTGATCTCAAGCCAGTCATTTCCTATGCCATGGACAGTTTGAGGGTTTCATGAGGTTTTGCAATGTCTATAGAAGCTCATGGTGAGCTATTATGCTTGCGCAGGACTGTGGATCAGCTAATTTAGCAGATGCATGTTCTAATGGAGTGGGGCTGTAATCTACAGGCAGCCTGTTACTTCTGAAATACAACAAACATTTAAAGTTCTGTTAATTCAAATTCCTGAACAGTGGTTATACATGCACTACTTACCAGAGCCAGTTTCTATTTTGTTTTGATTTTGTTGTTGTGCTTTTTTTGTTTTAAGTCCGCTGAATCTCTGATTCGTTGGGACCCACAGCAGTGACAGTAGAACCTACAGGCTTTTTTCTTGTGTTCATGAAGTGGCTGGGTTTCACCTGTTTTCGTTATTGCATGAGACCAGTGTGCGCTTCATTTAGAGAGACCAAGCAGCAACGGTCTCTGGAAGGAGTTATTCTTTTTCTTTAAGAATTAAAAGCCACTGGCATTTGTAATTTCCTGACAAAGCTGTCCCTTGGTTTTTCTACTTTTGGTGATAGTTCTGGATAAGCTTCCTCCCTTTCAGCTAAATGTGTCTCTTAAGTTTATCCTTCTTTGTTTTACTGTATTCACAGAATATAATTTAGTAAGAGTCTTTATCACAAAGATACATTTGTGCTAACAAAATCTTAGGCTGCTATTTAAATCCAAGCGTGTGTATATGGATTCTTAGCCATCATAGTCAGTTCCATGGCTCCCTTCTAATGTGAGTAATTTAAATGATTTAAAATCTCGAACAGAGAAGAAATTAAAATCATTCAGATATGAGTAAAATAACTCAATGACCTTGTTTTCAAATTTTTATGAACTCAGGACTATCGACAGATAACCATATGGCTTTTGAGACTTGGCATTTTTCTTGCTTTATTACATTTTTGAATCATAAGTTTACTTTATCATATTTTTTTGGTTCTGCTTTTGCCCTGCTGGGTTTCTCGTCCTGGATCCCCCTTTGTCATGTTACATGTTGCTAGGACCTGGATAAGGCCCAGGAGGCCATTCTGAAACATCAGGCTAGTATTAGTGAGCTCAAGCGCCATTTCATGGAGTCCACACCTGAGCCTCGCCCCAGTGAATGGGAGAAGCGGCGTGTCACACCTCTGTCCTTCCAGACACAAGCGGTATGTCACTGGCTGCCTGTCGGCTCTGTGTCTCACGTGCTCCTGCATCTTGTTTGTTGATTCTTAGACGTTAGAAAATGTTCCCACATAAATTCTTTTATATTGCTAACAATTTTTAAACTACTAAGTATTAACAATGTAATATTTTTGGCTTAATTCTTAGGTAAATTTTATGAGTTTCAAAGTACTTTGGAAATATTTTCAGAGTAATTTTATCATTGTATTTAGGTAATAAAAATGTAGTATTGAATTGTTAGGATAACTCAGGAACTAATATAATATTGTATCTAAGAAGCTTACTTATTGGCTTCTCAAATAAGAATGTTCAGTTTGTGAAGGAAAATATATTGTGTATATTAGCTCAAGGTCATTACTATGAAGATAAGGAGTTAAGATTTACCTTTGAGATTAATGAGCTCTGTTGAAAATTTTTGAAATAATTATGGAATATTGTACATCAATACACTTATGAAACTTCTTGGCAAAACATAAACACCAATGAGCCCCAAATATTCTTCTTTGTTTTTACAGAAGGTAAGGCCTGCTGCTTATAGTCACTGAGGGTTGCCTTTAGAATCCTCTCAAAATATCTCTGCATCCATTCCATTGCTGCCCCTATTTGTTTTCTTGATGCTTCCAGATATAGTTAATGGGCACATTCTTCTTGAGGAGATTGGTATAATTTGCTTTTCACTTTTGAAAGCTTCTATGGTACAATTTTTTATGTCCTTTCATTCTGTAGTGACTACTGCCCAATTATAGATGTTTGGTTTTGATACTCCAATGCTGGTTTTGCTTGCCCCTCCTGAGAGCACAGCCTCTAGTAGTAATAAGTTTCTAAGTTCATGGCACTGAATGGAAAGCAGAGCTTTAAAAACCAGTGAACAAAAGCAGTTGTTGAACTGAAAAATAAAACCTGTCAAATTAAATAAGCTCCATGCTGGGCGTTGGGAAGGAGGAAACCAGCATTTACTGGCTGGCTGAAAAACCAGTAGCTTCAGCAGCTTGGTCTGCAGTTTCCAGAGCAGCAGTGGCTTCAGACCTAGAACTGAACAGCCTTCCTCTGTGTACTGTTCCGTCTGGTCTGTCCCGTTGCCCCACTGCTCCACATGTCCTTTTATGTTCGTGTTGCTGAGGTGTGATGCATGTGTCTTTGTGTTGATTGTGTCATTGTTTAAAACAATAGAGAAAAAGCCAGAATCTTTTCAAGGATATTCTGACCTCGAAGTTGGAGAAGTACCTGGTGGGAGCAACACAGACATCTGAAGAGGCAGCTCAGGCGCACAAGGTGTTCACCTCTCGTCACTGTGTCTGCTTCCGCTCCTCTCCTCCAGGCATTTCTGCTCACAGACAGAAATATGATTCTTAATGCCAATTTATCTTTCAAATAGTTTTTGAATGTTTAAAAAGTTAGGCTTGTAACAGCCAAGGTTACTCAGAGGAAAAAAACAAAAAAGAACCAACCAACCAAACAAACAAAAAACAAAAGGCATGATGATGACCACCTTTAATCCCAGTATTTGGGAAGCAGAGGGAAGTGGATCTCTGTGAGTTCAAGGCCAGCCTAGTCTGCTGAGTGAGTGTTAGGACAGTTGACTACACAGAGAATCCATGTCTGGAAAAACAAGACAAAACAAAGTTATCAAAAATTAGTCTCCTGTGCATTAGGACTCTAGGGACATTGGGAGGAAACATCCTATCTTAACACCTTACTTGCATTTTGAGCGTATGGAATTACAGGACTATCAACCATGTTAGGTGATCCATGATCCATCATTTAACACATGTGGCTTGTGGTTGGCAATGGAGCCTCATGGGAGTGCACTGTACTGTCCCTTTAGGTACATGATGCTGCTATTAGAATATATTACTTTTGCTTTGGTTCATAACTTACTAATCACATGTGGGAAACGTTTGCATTTTCTTTTTCCAGACTTTTAATGTAACAAAAGCTATATTGTTGTATGCAGCAGGTTCTTTCTCTCTGTACCCTGAGTATGTGTCACAAGGGAGGAAACCAGCTTTCCGTTTCCTTCCACTGTACTCGCCTGCTCTGGGTGCTTAACTGGCTTGTTAGCCCTAAGAGCTTAGAGTCTGCTGGGGAGAGAGGCAGCAGGCACACAGGTTCAGTGATAGTGTCATATGATAAGAATGTCAAAGGTAAATCTTAGTGTGCGTTAGAAGGGTCAGGAGGAGGTAGCGTTTAAAGTGGGTTCTTAATGGTAAGAAAGTTAGACCGAAGACCTTTCCATTCTAAAGGAAGAGCACATGCAATTGCTGAGGTTCAAGCCTTAAGGACCCGAAATGGGTAAATGATGAAGGAATAGTAATCAGGTGCACAGAAGCCAGCTCAAATGGCATCGTTTGATAAGGACTTTTGGCATTATTACCTAGATTTTTGGTGAAGATATTTAAAATTATCATTTTTCTGGATCTCATATTTTATGAATGTTCAGTATAAAATATAGAGTAAAATTATGTGATGTTTAATCAGGGATTCCTAAAGGGATTATATACACTTGAAATGACTGTATTTTCTGTCATATGTATAAAATATATGCCATATATATGTGTAATATATATGTGATATATATATATGGTAATCTAGCTCCTCTTGTCTGGTTGCCTCATCTATGAAACCGTTATAGGCCTTTTGTCTGTGTTATTTTTTCTCTTGAGGTAGCACACCACTATTGGAAGTATTCGTTCAGTCTGCTCAGGTGCTGACTCGAGCTGTCATTTCAGTTTTTTTTATGTCTCCCTTTCACTGTTGATTTTCTAGGGTTTCTTATTTATCTTTGGATAATAATCATTATTGAAAAGTGGGAAAAATGTACATGTATGTGCTTAAAATTTCCAAATTCTTATAATATGGGTCTAAGAAAAATAAAAGATTTATTCATTTTTATTTTATGTATGAGTGTTCGCCTACATATATGCATATATACCTCATGTGTGGTTGGTGTCCAGAGAAGTCAAAGAGAAGGCATCAAATCTCCTGGAACCAGAGTTACAGATGCTTGTGAATCACTTCGTGGGTGCTGGGAATCGAACCTGGGTCCTCTGCAAGAACAAGGGCTCCTAACTGCTGAGCCATCTCTCATCTCTACCCAACCATCTAGGTGGTTGGTTGGTTTGTGTGTTTAGGTATTTTTTTTTTTAAGAAGTGGTATCTTGTTTAAAAAATAAATACATTGAATTTTCAAAATGACTTTAGTTTGACCATGAAGAATTTTGGGGGTAGAACAGAAAATTAGAAGCCAATAGATTTTTGTCTTTAATGAGTAAGTAACCATTGTGTATTCTACAACTTGTGTTCCCTTGTGCCTCCCTCTGAGAGATGAGCTCCACTGTTGTTTTGAGGTACTTTGGGGAGCTACAGTACTGAGGATTGATCCCAGGATGCTGAGCATACAAGGCAAACACTCAGTGTGTGCAACATTTCCAGTCATTAAGAGACTTTCGAAAATACTTGATTCAGTGCGTAGCACGTTAATTTCACAATTTCTATTAAGATCAGAAACTTTTTTCTCTGCTGAAAATTTTAAGGACTTCCACACTCTCCCATTCTGAAGAACACTTTATACTTGACAAGCATTTATCTTTTTAAAAGATCGCTGGAGAATGTGGTTTATTAAGAATTCTCACAAAGTTCCACTTGGTGGGAATGGGAGGGTTGGCGGGATTCCCCAGTTCATTCTTTATGACATTCTCAAGTCTCTGAGGCTCGTCACAGCTTCTCTGTTACTCTCTCAGTTTTGGTTAAGGGATAGTGCGTGGATATTGAGTTTTCAAATTTTGGGATTGTATTTTTTCCGACTGTTTTTTTGGGGGAAAAAAGCGGACCCCACTCCCTTCTGTCAGGACTGTTTGTTGCAGTTATATGCAGTAGGGGAGAGAGCACAGGAGTTACTGGTTATGCTTCTGTCATTAGGGCGGTCAGATCCAGAGTGCATAGGGAAGCCCATGGAGAGCAGGATCCAGCTCAGGAATGAAGCATTTCTAATGTAGGGGCTGCTGGAGAGATCATTCTCTGTGGAAGTGACCGAGGGGCCACCCCAGCAGTGTTTGAGGGTTTGGGGGTACTGTTTGTTATAGTTCATTGATAAATGGCTTCTGTAGGTTACAGCTGCCAGAAATTGTCAGTCAAGGTGCAGAAGCTGGCATTCAGGCAAGCCTTCACTTTAGCCTGCTTTTATCTCCAAAATTCTCATTTTTCCTTTCATTGTATGCTGTTCTGTTGTTCTTTCTAGTGTAACCTTCTTTCCTTCAGTAGGTCACTGCTGTCTATCCTGATGTATTGCTAACTCTTTGCTCTTCCTTTTCTGACCTCTAGAGCCTAGAAGAAGAGATAACATCCATTTTGTTTAGTGGACAGGGCTTTTCTCATAGTGTGAAAGCCTCCTTGCCTTCATCCACCACTTGGACAGCAGAGGGCACTGTTGTGAACGCTAATGCACCCAGAGAGCTGCTTTCTTCTGCGCCCTTTTCACGCTTGCCTGAGGTGCATTTTACTTCATTTCCCCTCTACTAAAAGCACATGAAACCAAATTTTCATTTTGGGGACATTTAGGTACCTTTCCTTCCACTTACTAGTGAAGTCACTGGGAGAAACATCAGGAAACAGTGAATATGATTATAGAGTAACTCTCATAGGTGGGGGTTGCGGAGAATGCCAGAATTTGGGAAACCGTTTAAAGCACTGAGGATCAGAGTTGCAGTTATTACATAAAGAAAAACTCATCTAAGCAGAGCCAGCTAAGAACTTCCCAGAGCTCAAGTTCAAAACCCAAACTCCAGGTATCTTCTGGTAGTTTATTATTTAAAACAGCATTCACATGCCCGACCAGAGTTGCTGTGCTAAGTATGTTGGAATGATCCTCTAGAATCCTGAAAGCCAAACCTGTCTAGCCATTTGAGGCTCAGTAACAGTTCTGCCACTGGCCTGTAGTAAGCAGGAGATATGCCCCTTAGAGATGCTCTGAGCACTAGGCATCTTCATCTCTGGAGGAGTCTGTAGTTAAATGTTATTTGCTTGTAAAAACAGGCTTGAGGTTCTCAGGTTAATATCTGAAACTCCCGAGTTTTCGGTGGAACTGGAAAGGCGATTCCTTGTTCTTTGATCACATTCTTCCATGGTATGCATTTTGAGCAACTCAGACATGCAGTTGCATGTCTTTCAGAGTAACCAGTCACAGAATCTGTAGCATGTTTGTAGGAGCTACAGACAGTTGCATCACTTAGCTCTGGGTGTCCTTGGTTGCTGGGACCCGTGATGTGACTGATGTCTATTAGGAAAACCTCTAAGTACAGTTAGTGTCTTGATGGCACAACAGTTGACATCCAACAGGGTCAGAGGACTGTTGCACATCTGCATTCAGTGTGGGTCATATTTTTGAGTAAATAGCACTGCTGCCCGGAGCTGGGTTATTTTTTTTGGGGGGGGGTTAGGTCACTAATAGAAGTGCTACAAGGATATGAACTTGCCTCACTGCTTTATTTCTGTAAATATAAGGTAGCGTGAAGCATTGAGCCTACTCTAAAAGAACCCTGCGTCCTAGTTAATACTGGACTACAGTAATTTATGTTACTATATCTCTATTACAAATTGAGGCATTAAATAACTTTCTAGAATGAACATCTTAATGTTAATAGCTGTTTGAAACCAACCACGATTTTGCCAATCCAAAATGTTTTTTTAAAAGCACCATCCAAAGAGGAAGAAGTCAGTCAGTCAGTCAGTCAGTCCATCCTTGATGCTGCATTTATTTAGGACTTGGGGTCCCAGCCCTTGTTCTAGATTCAGATTAAAGTATTTGAGGAATAGATTTCTAAGTTGTAAAATTTATCCTTTAAGCTGATTAGTTAAGTATAAGAGCATATTTTTCTTAGCATTTTCAAGTCCATAAATAGTCCTAATAATTTTTAAACATTTCTTTGTGAGAATATTGGCTGTGTTGTTGTTGTTTGTTTTTGTAAGTGTTGTGGCATTTGTCTAATTGTCCTGTGTGTGACCTTGAGCGCAGGGTGCAGTAGGGTTAATTCTTGCTGTTCTATGTTTGCGCTGTCACATGTCTGTCTTGGTGGTTGTTGAGGTAAAATCATATTGATTTTGTGTCCTTGGTTGCTTTTTGTTTCACAGACTCATCCTCCCACGTCGGAAGGGCTTTGCACTGGAACCAGGGACGCTGTTAAGGTTCTCCTTCCATGTTAATGCCATTCCCTCACACCTCTCATCCACCTCATGTTCCCGCTTCCCTTTCAGTTCACATCACAGTCATCTTGTTGTTCTTCATGACATGAATCTGCCATCAGTTAATTTGGGCTTCCATTGTTTTTATTTATTCACATGTTTTTGTTTTCCCTCATCCGTCTTGTTTTTGTACAGAGTTCACATGAGACTCTGAGTGTAGTAGAGGAGAAGAAGCAGGCAGAGGTGGGGAAAGACGGAAGCGTAATCACAGAAGAAGTGAATGGTAAAGAGATCTCACCGGGGAGTGGTCCTGGGGAGACTCGTAAGGTGGAGCCGGTGGCACACAAAGACTCCACCTCCCTGTCTTCTGAGAGCAGCAGCAGCAGCGAAAGCGAGGAGGATATGGGCGAGTACCAGCCCCACCACCGAGTGACCGAGGGCACCATAAGGGAAGAGCAGGAGTGTGATGAAGAGCTGGAGGAAGAGACCGGCCCAGGAGCCAAGGTAGTAGAGAGGGAGGCAGCAATGCCCGAAGCCATCCCAGACAGACAAGCAGGGACCGCTGTGCTCCCAGTAGAAACAGAGGCCCAGGAAAATGTAGTTGCCCAAAAGTTACCGGGAGAGAAGGGTGCACACGGAGGCACTGCTGAGCAAGACATGAGAGAAGAAGCAGAGGACGACCAGCACAAAGTTAATGGAGAGGTGCCCCATCTTGACATTGATGGTTTACCAGAGATTATTTGTTGTTCAGAGGTAAATGGGTGTCTCAGCATGAGCTAAGCTAGAGCGCTGTTTCTCAGGTGCAAATGCCTGCCATTCTTCACCGTCTCCTGATTCTCCTTCAGCTCTTTCAGCAAGAATGGTTTTTCTGTCTCATGGGAAGAAGGGAAGGCACTGCTTTGTAGCTCCTCTGCAGGTCACACTTGCTATCTTCTCTGCTGCAGTGGATTGCCCGCAGGCCAGCTGCAGCTGCATCATCTGCTTTCTTGTTCCCATCCAGGTTTCCTTCGCATGTTCTGGATGCTTTCTTGTCTTTCTTTGCATGCCTTCCTCAATCACATGCCTTCTCTCATGGGTTATATAGTTAAATGTGTGTGTACTGTTGAGAGTTGAGAGGCTGTGAGTTTAGTATGTGCTCCTGAGGTAATGACTGTGACTCTCTGCATCTTCTCACTCCTCCTTAGAGCTCACAACAGCTGCTCTGAGGTGGTGGGGGAGAACATTATTTCTTGAGTGCCACTGTGACTTGTCTTTAGAGTCCAGGGAGAGTGTGGTTTGGTTAAGTCTTCGTGACATCCAAGGACTAAGCAGTCCACTGGAAGCACACACTTCACGTTCTTCCGTCAGTCCTGGACTGTTTGCCATTATTTTGTAGACCAATCTATATTAGTTGTATTTCCTCATTTTATTTTCAAGAAAGAGAACCTTGTATATTCCTCTCAGATTGGTTCTTGATGGTGAGGAGCATTGACTCCTGTGATAGTTTACTTGCACAGGAGTGTCTGTCAATTCTAGAATGCCCACAGTTGTCAGGATTTATCAGCATTTTCTCTCTGATGGAGTGGACAATCTTTAAGTGGCTTTGTTTTGGAGTAAGTAGTTTACTTTAAATTTCATATTTCAGTTCAGGAAAGACATCTCAAGAGTCTTTTGAACACTCTGAACTACCTTTTCTATTTAATTAGTTCTACCTGTTGAGAGCTTTCTCTCAAAGGCGTGCTCTACTATTTGGTAGTGCTGTAGTCTGCTATGCTGTGGCTGCCCAGAAGGGTTAACAGACTTTGGACCTCTCTCCATGCTTAAAATCATTCAGAGCACTTCACACAACACTGATTGACTACTTTTAGATATAACATTTTATTGTACTTAATGCAAAAGGAAGCAAATTTTCAGATGAGTGTGATTGAAAATACTCATACTTGAAAATATACTTCTGATAATAGTATCAGAAATTGGGGGGTGGGGAGAGCAAATCTTGGTTCATGGAGTTTACAATCAAAAACAGTAAGCCTTCACATTTGGTTCTTTAAGCTTCAGTAAAGATAAAAGTACGAACTTACCATTGTACAGTACACACTGTTATCTTTTATTTTTTCCAAAGTAGAATGTACATGTACCAGTGTAGTGGTTTAGGACCAGCACAGTCAGAAGAGTAATGCAGTTTAGGGAGCCACTGTGTTAGCTTAGTGTGTGTGTGTGTGTGTGTGGGGGGAAGAATGTATATATGTACATATGTGTGTCTATACACACATACATGTGTGTGTGTGTGATATACTTGAAGGAGACATAAATCTTTTATATCTTTTACTTTATTTGCTTTTACTCTCTCCATGCATGAGTATGTGTTTGAATATTTTTTAACAATTATTTTTGAAGGTTCCTTTAAACACTTCTACTTCATGACCACTAGAATTTATCTTTCCCTTCCTTTTCTACCTCAGCCACCAGTGGTAAAAACAGAGATGGTAACAATTTCTGATGCCTCACAAAGGACAGAAATCTCCACCAAGGAAGTCCCCATTGTTCAAACCGAGACCAAAACCATCACATATGAGTCTCCACAGGTACAACAGCTCAAGATTGACACTGTTTGAATCCCCTTTCTTGTTAAGTATGAGTATTTCTGTTTTCGGTGTCTTCCCCTGTTCCTAGCTTTGACATAAGTTTTCACACATTGCAACTGTTCCAACAATATGACTAGCTCTGTTGCTTTCTTAGATTTAAACACAGAGCTGCAGTCAATCTCTGGTACCTAAAGATAAATCTCAGTTAGAGAAGGAGAGGAAGTACATGTTGATGACCTAGCACTTCCACAGAAGAGCTGTGCACATGGTTAGTTAAGACAGACTGCACAAGCCCTGTACTGTTACTATGGGGCCTTTCTGGCCTGTTGTATCTAAAACTGTGCACATTCTTGGGAATCAAATGACCTTGCAAAGCTTACTAGATGTGATGTATTCTGTAGATTTGTAGTGTTATAAGCTCCCCAATGCACTGACTTCATGAAGGCAGACCAGGTAAACTCAGATTGTATTCTGTCATTAGAGACACCCACATACTTTCCCTCTTTTACTCTGGGTCATTTACCGTAGACGTGCAGTGAATTCCATGTAACAGTGTTCAAGTGACTACAGGAACAGCACACTCGATTTTAGCTCCACAGGCTCTGGTTCTGCAAAGATGTTTTTAGATAAGAAAGCTGGAGAGATTGCTTAGTTTTATGGTAAAGTACTTCCCGAGTTCAGATCCTTTGTTCAAAGCTGGGAGTAGTACAAAACTGTAATGTTGGTGCTGAGGAGGAAGATCTGTGGGCAGTGCAGCCAAATTCAAATTGGTAATCTTCGGGTTCAGTGAGAGATTCTGCCTGAAAAACAAGATGGAGAGAAGTTGAGGAAGACACCTGACACTGTACTCTGGGCTCCACAAACATATGCATACAGAAATCAACAAATTAAATGGAACAAAAGGCTCATCATTTCAAAATGGACCTGTGTAAAAATGTATGTGATAAATAGCTTGCCCTTCTCTGGTAAGAATGCAGTATGGTGACGTATGTCAGGTCTCAAAATAGTTTAAGACTGAATGTATACATGTATGCAACATTTCTCAAAACAGTTTCAAGTGTGTTATCTATATGTGTGCATGGATCCCACATAAGAGCAAACAGGCTTCTTCTTGTGGGCAGGTTTGTGAGAATGTTGCTCTGACTAGGTCTGCAATGTGGTAAGCCCCTCAGAAAGGGGTTCAGGTGCCTGAGGTGAGTTTGAGAGAAGCTTCCTTGTGCTCATGTCAGGAAATAGGCAGCTGTGTTCGTGATTCTCACATAACTGAGCTATTAATTTGCTTTGTTATTTTTCCTGGCAGACTCTACAATCTTCTGCCTCTTCTAGTGTTAAAGTAAACAAATTTATAAATGTATAAGATACATACAATGGCTTATGTGTGTGTGTGTGTCCACACATCCATTTTATTATGTGCACTCATATATATATGTGTGTGTGTGTGTGTGTGTGTGTGTGTGTATATATATATATATATATATATATATATATACTCATGAGATATCAACCATTGTAAGAACTTCATACATTTTATAGATTATATTAAGAGAATATATTTTTATAGAATATATTAAGAGAAGTAAATAAATCATTCAAGTTCAGTCTGTCCTCAGCAGGTTCTGTTACTTAGTAATCTGAGAAAATGTTTACCTATTTTTACCCACCTGTGCTTAAAAACAGTAGCAAAGCCAGTACTTCTGGTCACTGGAAACATCTTCCTCTGGTTCTCAGGTTCTTTGTCTAGCTTCTACAAATGCTCTTTCCTCTCAGTTGACTGACAGTCCCACCTCCTCCTTCATTCTCCCTTGTTCTGACATGGTTTGTTTCTGTACATCATGGTTTTCACAGTTTTGCTTACAATGCCAGCTGCTCTCTGGACCATGAACCACCACTACAACACGCAGAGGATAGGAAGCTAGGATCTCCTGCCAGCTGTGACCTCTTAGACGATGCATACTTTGGTTGGGGGATCTTTTCTGACATGACGGAAGTTAAGCATTACTTTGTATTTTTCCTCCAACTGTCCAAAGATTGACGGCGGGGCTGGTGGTGATTCGGGCGTGTTACTGACCGCACAAACCATCACATCTGAGTCCGCGTCAACAACGACAACCACACACATCACCAAGGTAAAGCGACCTAGGGGAGCCCTAAGGAGAGGATGGTACATGGCAAGCAGATCTTTTCTGTATCGCTCCTTTGTTCCTTTACACACTTCTAAGTAAGACACAGACAGTGCCAGCGGATTGAAATGTCCTTCTTAAAGTATACAAGAAATCAGGCTCCAATGACAAATTGGTTTTAACCAAATTTGAGTTTTGTAAAGTACATGGGGGTAAAAATATGACTAGTTATATTTAAGACAGCTGCATAGACAGTAGTGCTTTAGTAAAACTGTGAGACTTCTCTCATTTATTTAAATCCTAGTATGTAGACTTGACATTTACCCAGAGCCTTTTCTAAACATTTGATACTATATCACCCAGAGTCCTTGGCCTGATGGCACCAGCTGCATCTGGGGCTTATATGTCTAAAAATCACTATCACTCCTGACCTACTGCGACCCGGGGAGGAAGCTTCCAGCTGACTCTGCTGCATGTCAGTGTATTCAAGTCTGACTTTCCACATTGCATTTTGCTTCTGTTTTCACATTGGATTAGTGCTTAATGGTCTTAAATGTGTCTCCCATGTTTCTAGACAATAATTTAAAGAAGCAAACAAAGATAGCAAGAGATTTTGTGAATTAAAAATGCAATGTATGTTGGTGTTTATTCTAGCAAATTGTAAAGCTAGTGGTAAGCATTATTTCTCAGTTAAGTGCCACTGCTTGTGACTTGATATGTGAATTGCGAAGGTTGTAGAGGTTGTCTGTGTGCTTTCTCAGGATTGGTATTGTCTGTGTTCTGTTTCCGAGGCTCTCCAAGGATCTCCAGCATGCCCCGGGTACTCTGAGCTGCACCTGAGCAGTAACTCTTGTGAGGCCATTCATTCAGGGTCTCTTTTCACCCTAGTCTTCTGCATAGCCAGTGCACAGTGTGCTCTCTGTCTGTGTGCACAACCACACATGGAAGCAATTATCAGCTCAAACCTTTGCTGAAAATCTCACTCGATTTCCTTATCTTAAAACAAATACAAGTATTTTTTAAATTGCACTAAATTGAATGAACTCACAAAACAATTTGTATGACTGGAATCAAGCATCAAAACTCTTGTATTAAACTGTTTCCTAAATATAAAACCCACCTAAAATGCTTATAATTCTACAAATCCCAAACAGTTTGTTCTTCTTTCTACTTTCCTTTTCAAAAATTGGACAACTGATAAGGAAGAAACTTAGGGAATGTGGTAGATTATCCCAATGGAGAAACTTAGATTTTAAAATAGTATCTGTTCCATTTTCATTTCACATAATGTTGGTATTTTCAGGGCTGCTTTCAATCAGAGGACACGTATGATACTGCAGTAACTTTAGCAATAGGACTCTGTTGAATTGAGAAGTACAGCACAGGAATCTCTGGAGCCCGAGTCTTACACTGCTCTGTGTCCTGGTCTTAAGATAGTGACAAGTGGAAACTGGGCTTTGCCTTCATTCTCCACTTGCCAGCTCTGGTTATTGTCTCTTCTTTCTAACCTTAGACTGTGAAAGGCGGGATCTCTGAAACACGGATTGAGAAACGCATTGTGATCACAGGAGATGCAGCTCTGGATCATGATCAGGTAAGTACCTTGCCTGTCACATCTGTGTTTGGTCGCCCCCTGGTTCATCCTGGATGGAGTCCAGTTCCCTCCTTAGAAGGGAAAGATGCTTGAGCCTGGACTATCCCATCCTGTGAGAGGTCTTGAGTACATTGGCACAAAACATGATGTTTGTTCATCATCCACTGCAGTGACGTGTAAGATAGTGGGGACTTCTGGTGACCAGTGAAGGGATACCCATTGGCTTGGTTTAAAAACAAGTTGTCACACATTTTAAAACAAATGGCAGTTAGTGACAGTTCCTAAAAATCAAACAACAAAACAAAGCCACCAAGATTTCTTATGCCTTAGTTGTTGAATATTTTTAAGGCATTTTTGTAGCAAAGGAAAAAATTGGGCTATTTACTACTAAGAATTTTCTCTAGTATAATTTGGGGTAGGAGAGGGAAGAAAAGATTATCTAATATTTCTCTCAAGATAAAAATTTGTATTGATTCTATTTATATATTTAAGCTAAATGCAATGCCAGTGAGCCTTCCTACATGCATCAACCCTTGGAGGTGTGCAGGAAGAATGAGAAGTGTAGAAAATGGCAGGTGCTCTTAGAAATGAGCCGTAACCCAATTCAAACATCCCTGTTACTATAAAGGAAGACACAAGAGCAATTTTCTGGAGCCTGTGTCTGGTTGATGAAGGAGACTGTATTCTGCCATCTTTGGGTGGAGCCAAATACTCATGGTTGCTTGTTCTTCTGACGCTGGTAGGCACTGGCACAGGCCATACGGGAAGCCAGAGAGCAGCACCCTGATATGTCGGTCACAAGGGTGGTAGTGCACAAAGAAACAGAGTTGGCAGAGGAAGGAGAAGAATAAGGTAAGTACTGGCCAACCGCAGCCTTTCCTGACTCCTCTGTCTGTGCAGATTTACACTGAGGTCCTTGCTTTCTATAGTTTGGGTGATTTTCTCCAGATCGTTTTCTCCAGATCTCCTAGCTCACCTGCTCAAATGCATGTAATGAGGATCTCTGGTCTGTTGTCTGGCTGGTGCTAATGGCTTTATATAGAAGCTGCCAGCAGGGAGCATTTATGCTCCTTCTCTCGTCAAGTGTGTTAGTGTACTTGATAGTTAATGTTCACAATGACTATGGTGGGGGTGCTGTCACCTTTAGGTTAGATTTATGTTATATGAGAGGTATGTCTTTAAAATCTATATGTTAAAAATTGTGTATCAAACAATGAGCCATAGAGAGAGCATAAAACCTGTATTGTCTAAAAGTTTAAGGTTTTAGCTGGACCAGAGGGGGAACACTATAATAAATGGTGCTTAATATTGCCAGCACAAAAGGACTAATGTTCCCAACAAACTGAGAACTCTAATAATTTATGAAGAAAATGTTAACACTTCTAGAGAAAAATGGGCTGATGATTACACAGGTAAACCATGTGAAAACTAAGTGAACTACAAACAAAAACCTTTAGCCTTATTCTATTGCTTTAAATCAATAAAAATTACACGTCTAGTATAACATTTTTCACCCATGTGGTAAAAATGCATGTTTTAATCACTGGAGATTGTGAGACAAAACCATATTCACATCCTGTATATTTTGTTTCTTAGAAGACAATTTGGAAAAACCTATCTCAAAGTATTTACATTATAGTTACCTGTCATTAAACTACCTTTAAAGAAATTAATGAGGGCCAGTGAGATAGCCTAGCAAGTAAAAGCTCTTGCTGCCAGCTAAACAACCCGGGTTCTATCCCTGTGACTTGCTGCCAGCAGGTGCTTCAATTTCATCCCTGGGACTCACTTGCCAGATAGAGATAAACAGCTCCTTCAAATTGTCCTTTGATCTTGACATGTGTGCTATGTCATGTGCACCTCATACAAACACATCCGTCTGCACACAAAGTCAATAATATAATAAAATTAAAAGCAATAAATTTGCTTCAATACTGGGAGATGTTTGCTGAGACTCCTCTTCAGAAGTATGTCTTTTAAGAAACCAGTCAGAACTGCCCATGAGGAACCTGTGTAAACAGTAGAAACACTAGTATTCATATCAATAACACCATTAACATCAGACCAACCCACAGTTGTGCTGTAGCAAGACACGAGACACTTTACACAGGATCAATAGTATGGCAGAAGTTCATGCACTTGCTGCTTCTGTGGGACGACTGAGGACCCCCTGGTGGACTGCATAAATATCACCGTTGCCTGATAGGGTTTTACCAAACAGGTTATCACAAAAAATGCACGATGAGATTACTTTTTTTAAAAAAACTTTGAGCAGTCAGACGGTGGGTGGTTCACAAGAATGACAAGGCCATAGAGTGTTTATCTTCTACTTTGCACAATAAAACCACTTGCTATTCCATCTGCAGAGAATGAAGACCCGTACCAGTTCACAGACTCAGCTCTGAGAGGCTATTTATTTTGCTAGTTTAGGGGACATAAAATACAACTCTGATTGTTATTTCAGTTCCTTCCATTAACATCTCTTTCTATGGTTCTTAGCCTCTCATATTTCTTCTGTGAAAATGGGAATAGCCAGAAAACTCAAAACATTTCTGTGAAATACTTGCTTACCTTTTAAAATGCCTGTTTTCTTTTTTTTCCATTTATTGACTTTTTTAAAATTACTTTTTTATGGGTCCAATTGTTTGCCTGTGTGTTTGTTATGTTGTACCACATACATGCCTTGTCCCTGCAGAGGCCAGAAGAAAGCATTTTACCCCCTGAAACTGGAGTTGGAGATGGGTTATAAACTGTTATGTGGGTGCTGGGACTTGAACCCAGGTCCTCTTTGATGGCAGTGAGCACTGAGTGATTCAGTCAGCACTCTAGCCTCCATGTATTGATTCTTAATACTAAGTCTTGATGGTGTCATATGCTACAAATGCGATGTTCATGGTGGTTTTATTGATTCCTAGTACTAATTCTTGATGGTGTCATGTTACAATTGTCATGAGGTTTGTGGTGTTTATTTCGTTATTAATGTAATCGAATTTACAAGTTTTCTTCATATAGCAAGTATTAAACTAGCTTCACTTGCTCTTCCTGCGTGCTTAAAAGCAGTGGCAGCTTTCCAGCAGTTCATCGAGGAGCCGGTCCTTTCCCTCTACCCTCAAGTGTCTCAGCTCTTATGTGGTCGTGTGCTCTGGCAGGTGGTTGCATTGGTCCCTGTGCATTTGTGCCTTGCTGCCTCCCTGTCTTAGGCATGTATCTTCATGCTGGGTCTTGATGGCATAGCATGTGTGCCCCCGCCTTTGTTGTTCTTGTTTATTCATCATTGCCATATCGATGACTAAGTCAGCCTGCTAATTCAACGCTGTACATTTAGTTTTCTTTTTATTCTCTACCTTTTCCTTTATTTTTTTCAATGTAAGAGGACAAACTTGGCCTGCATATGCTCAGTGTTTCTATTGCTGTGTGACACAGCAGGATGAAAAAGCAGCTTGGGGAGGAAAGGGTTTATTTAGCTTATACTTCCACACCACTCTTCATCATCAAAGGAAGTCAGCACAGGAACTCAAGCAGGGCAGGAACCTGGAGGCAGGAGCTGATGCGGAGGCCATGGCAGGTGCTGCTTACTGGCTTGCTCAGCCTGTTTTCTTATAGAGCCCAGGACCACCAGCCTAGAGATGGCGCCACCCACGATGGACTGGGCCCTCACCCATCAGTCACTAATTATGAAAATGCATTACAGCCAGATCTTAAGGCAGCATCTTTTCTATGAAGGCTCCCTCCTTTCTGATGAGTGTAGCTTCTGTCAAGTTGACATAAAATCATCTAGTACAAAAGATAAGGTTGGAAACCGTTATTATTCCAGATGTTCTCTATCAGTTTTCGTACATATGAGAAAACTGGGGCTGGGAAAATGGGTCAGTGGCTGGACTTCCAAAGGAGCCGTGTTTGCTCCCTCGACCCACTTATCTCTCCAGCACCCACCGGGAAGTGAAGTACAGACTGTGAAGAGCTTTCATAGGATATGTTCTGATTCTGATTCCCCTCACCAAGCTTCTACTCCTCGTCACCTTCTCACCTACTCAAATCTCTACCCTTTCTTCCTCTGATTCGAAAATTCAAAAACAGTCAAAAAATGATAAAGACAAATAAATCAGGATAGTACAAAACAAAAAAGAGCAAAAGAGAAAGCACAAGAAACACATACAGATACAGAGACACACATTTGCATATATAGAAAACTCATGCAAACAAAGTAGGAAACCATTTAAAAAACAAACAACAAAATAAAAATAAAACCTCTAAAAATATGATTGACATTTTTTGTGTGTGTTGGCCATTTACTGCTGGGAAGGGGATATGCCCTTAAGTGTGATTTATATACCCAATGAGACTTCAGTGGAGAAAACAGTTTTTTCCTTTGAGAGAAGTTATCACTTGGAGGTAGCTCTGGGTTAGGGGTGGGGCTTGTGCCCTTTCTCTCAGTACTGGGACTCTATCTGGCTTAGATCTGTGCAGCCCCCATGCATGATATGTCAGTCCTGTGTTATCTAGAAGCCTTGTTTCTTTGGTGTCTTCCCTACTGGCTCTTAAATCTTTCACCCCACCCCCACCCCCATTTTGTTTGTTTGTTTGTTTGTTTTGGTTTGGTTTGTTTTGATTTGGTTTGGTTTGGTTTTGTTTTGGTTTTTCAAGACAGGTTTTCTCTGTGTAGCCCTGGCTGTCCTGGAACTCACTCTGTAGACCAGGCTGGCCTTGAACTCAGAAATCCACCTGCCTCTGCCTCCCAAGTGCTGGGATTAAAGGCGTGCACCACCACTGCCCAGCAAAGATTTATTTATTTTTTTAATTATATGAGTACACTGCAGCTGTCTTCAGACACACAATAGAAGAGTGCATCGGATCCCATAACAGATGGTTGTGAGCCACCATGTGGTTGCTGGGAATTGAACTCCGGACCTCTGACAGAGCAGTCAGTGCTCTTAACCACTGAGCCATCTCTCCACCCCATTCATCCCATCTTCTATAGAGTTCACTGAGCTCTGTGTGGAGGGATTTGATGGAGATATCTTATGTAGGACTGGGTGTTCCAAGGTCTCACTCTCTGCATACTTTCCAGCTGTGGATCTTTGCATTAGTTGGCATCTAGTTCAGGAGAAGCTGCTCAGATGATGGCTGAACGAGGCAGTGAGGACGAGCATCACAGGATGGTGTTGGAGTCATTGTATTGCTATGCTCCTTTAGCAGAGCAGTAGTGTTAGATTTTCTCCTACATCCATTACCTTGCTAGTATTAGGTTCTTGACCACGTGAGCCATGTTGAACGTGCGATTCATCTCATGGAACAGGCCTTAAAAACCAACCAATCATAGAGTGGCTGGTCACTGCCACAGCTTTTGGGCCACTATTGCACCTGTGTATCCTGCAGGCAGAACACCTCTGTAAATCAGGTGTGTAGCTGGATTGGGTTTAGCTTTCTCTTTTGATAGTGTGCAGGGTACCTTCCAGTACCATGAACGGTAGTCCATGTGGGGTGGAGGCTCCAGTTAGGCACCAGCTTGACTTCTCCATGTCCAGTGTGTTGTGTACATGTTGTCTTCAGCAGTAGGGCCTTCCATTAGCTTGTGGAGAGCAGCCACTACCTTTGGCAGTAAGCTGTTGTGACGAGGGTCCCATTAGCCACTCAGTCAGTTGTAACCCATTCCCAGCACTGTGGCTTTCACTCAGTGACGAGGTGTCTCCTTGGGCTTTTGTCTCCTCCTAGTCCGTGATTTATTTAGAGTTTTTCACATATGTATATATTTTAAGGAACTTCTACTATTTTATGCTTCCATATGACCCCTCAAATGGCTTTCAGTTTTACCTGCCCCTCTCTGTATTTCCTTCCTTACCTGTAACCCTTTT